GGAGTCCTCCCTCGGAGGTCGGGCAAGGCGGAGCCCTTCCTCAGAGGTCGGGCGAGGCGGAGCCCACACGTCTAGGGTCGGTTGGAGCTGTAGTCGCGCTCTTGACTGCTCGGATGAATCAATGTTGATGACCATTAGCTTCTCCTCTTTGGTACTCCAGTATTGGTCCCCGACCCGACAAGTAGCTAGGATGAAGATATGAGAATGTTCTTTTTGGAATAGCAGATATGAGAATGTTCTAGAAGATGCTGGAAGCAAAGGATCCCTCAGCTACACGAGACAGAGCAGTAGTCTAGTAGAGGCGGAAGAAGAACAGTAACAGGAGATGGAGATGTGTTTGAGTTTCTGAATAATCCATTGATGCACTCGTTGTCGGCTCCCTTTGTACCATTGGCCCTCCTGTGCCCGACCATCCATACTCGCCACTGTAGTACCATGGCATCGCAGAGGTCCGTCCAACGATGGAAGAAACTAAGCAGACCAAGAGGTGAAGGCGTGGCGCTGCTCTGTGTGTTACTGCTAATACTGTCGCCAGTATCTTGTTAGCATACCATTATTTTGTGATACCGAAAGTAGAGTATTTACTCTTTATTATTAGTTAGTCTTTACGCACTGCACCGTAAACTAGCTAGTACTACCTACTACGTACATCGTCCACGTCAACAAATTTCGTCTATATACGGTGTTGGAGCTTTAGGACAGTGTGCTGGTTAGTATCATCGCGATCCCTGGTATTTGTACGTTTGTCCAAGTGGTTTAACATTTCTACGCAGGTACAAACAAATGTTGACATGTTCAAGGCCAAAATGATACCGTACGTGGCCCAAGCGAAGTACTCCAATTATTCTAAAATAAATGAACAGGCCCTTTTTCAATCTTGGCTTACTCCCTCCGAAACAGCATCGTATGATCGTATCAGTGGGACGTGAACGCCTGTAGTATTAGAAAATAGAATGAGAAGAACGCTAACGAGAAGCAAGCAGTGCAAATTAGGCTGCACTCTACTTGATACTGATAGCAAGCAGGCCTCGTACCGAGAAGATGTTGCAGTGGCCGGGGTCGGCGAGGTGCGCGAGGAGGTTGTCGATGGGGCCCTGGCCGGTGTACACGGCCTGGAACCAGAAGCCGACGAAGGCGAGCATGGCGAGGCGGCCGTTCTTGATCTCCTTGGTGCGCAGCACCATGACGGGCTCCGGGGAGCCGCGGCCCCAGTTGGCCCAGTCGAACCACAGCCCGCCGGGGTACCCGACGTCCGGGACGGGGTTCTTGCGGTTGGGGAAGCGCGGCTCGATGTCGACGCAGCCGGGCCTGAGGAAGTCCGCCCACCGCCGGCTCTCCGCCCACCCCATCAGCGCCATCTGCGAGATGAAGAGCGTCCAGGGGTCCGCGAAGTACTCGCGGGACCCGGCGTCGAACCACGAGTAGCCGGCGTCGATGAAGCCCCACCGCGCCAGGAGGTCCGGGATCAGGATGCCCGCCGCCGCCAGCATCGCCCACCGCCCGTGCATCAGCTCCGCCTGCGCGAACCACCGCAGCGACTCCGGATCCGAGCCTGCGCACATTAATTAATCATGGAGAAAATTGTGTGTTCTAGACTTCTGGCTAATAAGCTCTTAAAACCAAACCGAGAGAATGTGCGAAATATTGCAAGCATTCTGTTCTGTCCTGGATCATTATTTGTGTTACCTAGTCCAAGAGGGTCAAATCCAAAGTCTCCTGGAAGGCTGCAAGACAATTCGATCGCGAAGAAATATCAGAACAAAGTAAAATGGTACCTCACCATCTTATCCGTTAGATACATCTGAGTTTATTTAATAGTTTATCCACTACACTGGGCAGTAATGATATATCTAGACATCTACAGTAGCTGTTGCATGTCTGAGCGACTCTATGTACACCGTGATATCACTTACCTGCCGTCGAGCCACGGCGGAGCGGATTTGCCGGGGAACCAGACCGGCCGGTCGGGGCCCAGCGGCTCGCACACGGTGGACACGCCACCCTTGGTCGCGTTCGCCCGGCGCTGCTGCCGCGTCCTCGCAAACGATACCGCCGCAGCACCCGGCTTCAGGTGTGGCGGCGGCCTCGGGGCATGGCACGCCCGAATGCTAGCACTGCTGCAGAAGATACGGAGCGCACAGACGCACGGCGGCGGCGTTAGCGTAAGTGCGTAACAGCGGAGGCGAGAGAGAGAGACGAGGGTGCGCCATGTTTTTTACCTTGGCTGGAGGCTGCATGCCGCCAACGAGCCGGCGGACGGCAGAGCCATGAGGAGGAGGGAAGGGGAAGATGATCGGGGCTCGGGAGGAAGCGCGCCACGCCGGTGCGCGCTTTTTATCGGATTGGTGTTTCAGGATAGGGAGGGAGAGGGTGTGGCATATGTAAGGAAAGCCAGCCGATGAGGAAGCACCGTTGTATGGCTAAGACCTAAAGAGACCTAAAGAGGCCTTCATCGGCCTGTTAGGCGCTGATGGACCTGTAAGATTCCTGCTTTAGGTTACACTAGTTGTCATGCACATGCTGCACGCACGTGTCTATGATATTGGCGGCATCTTCTTCTTCTTCTTCTTTTGAAGCAGGTGGCATCTTCTTGTTAATAATGTGACACCATGGTTTTCTTGAAATATTACAGTATGTATTTGTTTTATAAAGCTTGTATGCAGTTAATAAGGAAAAAACTAAATTAACTAATATCGAGAAAAGCTTGCAACGTGTAAGTCTGACACTCAGTCGCACCGTACTCCACTCCATTTGATCCTTTAGGCCCTTAATCATCAATTGTTGGAGGCGTGCTCTACTGGCTTCTGCTTAGAGCATGTCTCATTGAGGACATTTATTCATGAGGTAATATTGTAATTTCACATATAGCTCATCAGTTTATTTGAAAACAGAGTCAATACAATAAGGACTTCTAATTCCTCCATAGTTGGCACACCCTTGATAACAGAAACAACAAATGAATTTGGATTCCATAATTTGATTAAGGGTCTTCGATCAATTCTCCCAACAATTTGTCATGACTCTTTTTCATCTCGTGTTCCTTTGCAGGAGAATATAGTTTTTGTAGCTTATCCAAAGATTTCTGCAAAATTTGTCCAAGGTATTGTTTGTCCTGGGAACCTGATTAAAGTAACTTCCCGTCAAACGCGATATATATTTGTCACATATATGTATCAAGGTTCACCATAATCCACAATCTTAATTGACATATTCTTACCTGAGTCAAAATTTCAAGGTTAATATTGTCAATGATTTTATTGTTTCCACCCTGTAGGAGCTAACTCTACCAATGCTTCCCTGACTCCCTATACCAGGCTGACCAGATAACTGTAGTTTGGTATGTCTCCTCTCATTGATTCCATAACCATGTCCCAAAAAGCTTTCTCCATTGAAATTTTCTTACCTGGGTCAAAATTTCAAGGTTAATATTGTCAATGATTTCTTCTTTTTTCACCCTGTAGGAGCCAACTCTACCAATGCTACAATTTAGATAGAAGTCATTACATGGAAATTTAGAATATGTCTTAAAAATTCAGTTTATTGTGTAAATTCAGACATGCATCAAAGTCAAGGTCGAGCACATAAGACTGAATAACTGAAGTAAAAGATGACCATGTAACTGAAATGTTTGAACATGGAGCAGGAGGTGAGGTCTGTGTGTGACGGAACAAGTAGGCTTTTGCAACACACTGGGTGCCACAATTTTGTGTGTATTGTCCGTGCTAACACTACGGGCTACATTAAGTCCAAAGTTAATTCTATCAAATTTGAAGCGTAGTTTTCTAAAAACCTGTATCTAAAAACTGGCAAGCACGCTGCTCCATGAAAAGAATAATCCTACAAAATGATGATGCGTCACTGTTTTTGTGGCCAGTGCTAATGCTACGAAAAATACAAAACAAAATAAAATTTACAAAAAATAAAATGAGATAAAATTTCCCTAGTATTAAGAAGTGGCATAATGTACATGCGACAGCTCTTTAACTGTACAGAAAAATAGTCTTACCTCATATGTGACATATCTATGAATGGAACTATAACAATGTCCCCCAAAGTAATCTGCCTCCAGCTCTTCATTTACCTCCTTTATTCCATTCTGTGAAGCGTTTTGTTTATTAGAATTTTGAACAGTAAATTACTACTGAACTAATAATTCAGCTGTAGAAACCTACCAAAGCACCAAAGAAGCGAGCAACAACATCAGATGATCCCCTGGTTAGCAGATGACAGGATGCCAATAAAAAGTTGAACAGGTTCAGCTGGCAAGGGTGAGGCCTTCCACTGTTTAGACATCTCAAGATATTTTTTTGTTGCAAAAGTAGGAGGTGAAGTGGGCAAATAACAGCCAAAACCGACTCGACATCAATGTCTCCTTTCAAAGACAACTGTGTCGCATCCTCAATATTGTAGCCCTGTCAAGCCAAATAGTGAGCAACATTAGAAAATTAAATCTTGAGATATCATTGAGAGAGTTCCATAACACACTATTGCTGAGTTTATCATGACCTTGGAGGAGAAACTGATATGGCAGCATCTGTAAACTGAATTGTCATACAGCCTGAGCAACACCCACAGTTGTAATTACTGAAACCAAAAAAAATCTTCAGAAAAGGCAACTCCCAGTGCTAACCAAAATCAACTCCATATATTTGTTGTCACTACCTCGACAGATGCTGGTTGATTTGATAGTGGTAGCATAAGTTTACATACGGGGATCACAAGCAAAATACTCTAGAATTCAAACCATCATGTCGGCTGATCAGATCCAAAGGGAAACAAGATAAAGTGGCACGTCACATTTTCCTGATTCCATTGAAACGATCAAACCTGACTACCAGAGAAAAAACAGAGGTGAGGCATGCGGTGATATAATGATAAGATCAAGAACCCATAATAAAACAAATTGTTAGAAACACGAAACAGGGAACAATGAAAGATTAAATAATTCATACTGTGCTACTACTCTCGAGCTTATTCCAAACAGGGGCTGCCGGCCAGGGATGCAGGGCGTCGAAGGCACAGGTGGGGATGACGGAGACGGCGGCGGGGTCGCGCTCGACGCCGGCATCAGCACCGTCGCTGGAGGTCGCAGGGTGGCGGGCTGTAAGGACGGCGAAGGGGAGGCCAGCGACGCCGTGCTGCGGGAGTCCGGGGCCGTGACGGTGGTGGCTAATCCGGCGGCGGCTGCTCGTCGAGTGGCGGTGGTGTGCGCCCCTCGCGCGGCCCCGAGCGGCGGCAGCGTCGTGCGCCCCCCGCGCGGCCTCGAGCGGCGGCAGCAGCACGGTCGGATGGATCTGACCCTGACCCAGGCGGCAGCGGAGCGACGAGGGGAGGGAGGCGGCCTAGATCAGACCGGGAGGGGAAAAGTTAAGGTGATCGGGTGATGATGGATTGGTACGGGCGAGGTGGTAGCGGGCGGGTACCTCGAGAGTTGGGTGAAAAAAATCACGAGCTCAGGGTGTTTCTCAATGGCAGGAACGCGTAAACGTAAGGTGCGGGCGTAAAACTTTTTGGTGGCCCACAACAAAACTAATTTAGACCTTCAGATCTAAATATGAGAAATCAATCCAACGGTCCTGATACAAGTGGGTATGAAAGTTTTGGGTAACACGTATTTCTCAATTCCTTCGTTCTTTTATAGCATAGATAGATTTCTCGTCCCTTTGCTTTGCAGCAAGAAACAAACTAAAACTACATGAAGTCTGACCTTACATGGATAATTTCAAAGATAGGTTCCGCAGTAAACAAAAATCAAATAAAAGGATGTGGTACAAGAATGCGTCGAAACTTTACCCATGTACAAGACGTCTTTTCTGGCTTAATTCAAACATCACTGTTTGTTCTTGCTACTGCTTTGCTAAAGCAGTTTTCAGCGTGAATATCCATTTCTTTTGAAGCCATCTTGACAAACCGAGCTTTATGAACACAACTTGAAAGAACCAACCATTCCAAGTTCAAAAAACTACATGATACATATACATCCACATCTGTTGAAAAAGGGCAGCTAAGTGTATGCTGCCGTGAACAGTAAACACTATCAAAAGTGTACTGTCAACTGTGTAACCGAGTTAGTTTGTAACAAAATACAGAGATAAAAAGTGAAAAGACAACAACATTCCTGGTGTGTGTCTACGAGACAGCATAGACAAGGCGATCTTCCTTAAATACACGTGCCTGAGAGGTCAAACGTTTAAAAGCTACCCAAAATTTTGCTTCTAAATGTGTGGAAAAGACTATGGCAGCTGTGAATGCTGAGTACTCCTACAGCGATAGTACATTTGGATCAATTACCCTTGTCAAAAACTGTAGTCGATATCAGAGATATTCTGTAACGTTGATTGTTTAACCAGCTCACGCCGCTCGTCGTACAGGTCCAGGTTCTTGCAAGGCATGGGGAAAACATAGCCAATGACCTGCCCCTGGACGAAGGAGCACTGGAAAACATGGTGCTTCTTGTCTACTATACCGATTGACATGTCATGGAAGGTAACATTCTTCACAGGGATCTCTGCGCTTCCCTGTATCCTGACTGGCACTCGCACACGATGCCCATGGATTGAGGTGTAAGAAATATTCCCGATGGTGGGCACAGCCTTTGGGTCGAAGCCTTCATCTGGGTGCTCGTTGTAGTCTGTCTTTATCACTATACCGACACGTACATTTTCCAAGGTTATGTTCCGGTACATGACGTTGGTTACATAGGCCCCTCTCCCGGGCGCAGTCTTTATCCTCACGCCTCGCCGTGAATCCCAGACATGAACATTCTCTACCAAAACATTCGTGACGCCACCAGACATCTCGCTTCCAATCGATACTCCAGCACTGCCCACAGAACGCAAAAGAGATGAAACATACAATCACATTGGTTTGTTAAAGTTTGAATAGTGGTGTTGTTTGATTTCCAGATCATGAAAGATAAACCAACAATGAGCACAAAATGCCTTATGTAACTAGTTCTAGTCTAGACAAATAGATGGTCCTAGTACATATGAAGCATCTGTAACATAGAACAAATAGCCAGCAAGTAGTATGTATCAGAAATATACAAACGAAATATCTAACAAACTCGCCACAACTCTTTCATATTGTCTTCAGGACAAGAAGCGTCATACACTAGCCAACGATATTTCAAAACACATCATGCATACATATGTTATAAAGCAAATCGAAACAGCCAAAGCAAACGATCTAATATCTTACCTGACCATAGAGCGGATTACGACATTCTGAATAGCAATGTTAGCAGATGGACGGCCATAAGCAATTCCATATTGATCCCAACCACTCTTTATGGCTATCCCATCATCACCAACAGAAATGTAACAATTTTTTATCACCACATTTTCACAAGAATCTGCGTATACATCAAGAATAACAAAGAGATTGATTAATGAAGCATAAACTTAAAAAAAAAGGCTCCAAAAGAACATGGACATGCAGTGCAGGTTTCTTGGGCTCCTATTGTTGCTGAAATGTTTAGGGTAGATTATAATACAACCTACAGGATGCAGCTATAAATGAAATGAATAAAGTTCAATAATCAGAAAAATTGCAAGCATTAGGAGTAACCTGGATCTATTCCATCAGTATTTGGAGCTCCAGCAATTGGAGCCAAGATGGTGGTTTCTGATATAGTAATATTCTTGCAGTCGTACATGTGAAGAGTCCAGAAGGGAGAATCACGAAGAGTGATATTAGAAATGATAATGTCACTTGATCGCATGAGCTGCACCAGAGGACCCCTTGTGTGATTAAGGAGTTTTCTCCGAAATTTTATCCACCAACTTTGACCTTGTCCATTTATGGTACCATTATGACCTATTTTGCAGAAGGGTCAACTGAAATATTATTATAATTTCATGAAAATCAGACTGCAGAAGAGAAACAAGCAATGATGCCAACATTCACTTCTCTAACAGATGAGTCATGATATTTAGCTATATTTGGCATAGCCTCATTAGAATAATAGCTTCAGATCCACATTCTTACAATGAATGCATCGCTCGAGGTCTAATTAATTCACTTAATTCAAGTACGACTTGAGATTAGGTGTTTTCGTGAAATAAGTACCAAATTTAGTTTCAAAAGCTTTTAGCGCTTCCTATGTTTTTGTATGGTAGAAAATGTATACAAGCTGGAATTGATTTGGCATTTTCCATATGAATAAGAAAAAAAAAGGAACAAAAAAAAACACAACCTACCTGTTATAGTCACATCCTTCAGGTCTTGGCCATGTATAAGGCTCCCATATCGAGGTCCCTTGTGCTCTCTTCCATAGCCGTATGATGGTAATGGAGACATTAATGGCCAATATCTTTCATCCTTGGATATAAGTAACATAAACAAGTCGCCAATGTTAACTCAATTGGTAAATAAGTGCACCAAACTGAAAAAGGTACCAGTAAAATAACATGTAAGAAACTCTCAACGTGCCTTGCCTAAGGTCGAGAGAATTTTATAAAAAAAAACAAAAGAGGTATCAGTGTAATTTCTTTGTTGGAGTAAAAGGTAACAAAATACAGAAAAAAAACACCAGTCTCCTGGCCAATCACCACTTATAATGCAAGTAAATAGGTCAACTCTATGCTTATTTGAATCAGTAAATGATGTCATGACAATTGACAAATAACAGCAGAAGCAAATGAAATAAAGTTTACAAAACAACTTGGTAGATAAAGCATGAAAATATTGAGTGAATTTAGCTTAACTTGAACCTGACTATTGCATAAAAGCAGAGACTCTCTGTCAAAAAAAAAAAAAAAGCAGAGACCAAATTTATTTGAAAGCAAGTCAGAACTGACCCAAAAAAAAAACATCATGTTGGGACTAACCACCATGGTCTTTGGAACCTATCAGACTAACTTTGACATGCGGATGACTTCAGTGTTCAAGTAAATCCTTGCTCAAATGTCAACTTAATTCTTCAGCAAATCTTGCAGCATAGTTGAAAATGACACCACTAGACAGTCATTTTTGCGATAAACTTGGCAGGAATTTCTGATACAATTTTAAAAGAAACTATTTGTGTAAAAAAGTATTTCACCTGCCCTGCTGAGCAACACCGGTAATTAGTAATATATATCATTAAACTGCGTAGTATTTGCATTGCTCCCTAGATTGATGATGAACTCATCATTTCATGCAAGGATCACTGGTTGCCATTACTTATAAAATGTCCTTGACTTAATATGATTGCAGTAGCAGAATTCTTTTTCGGCTTTTCACTTCCCAGAGTACATACTTGCACAAATGAATCCGAATTGACTAAAGATCCGAGAGCAGCGTCTTTAGCCAAACAAAGGTGATGCAAATAGCAGCTAATGTCTCACCTGAATCCCTAGGATCTCCGCACCAGCGGCGAGGAAGAGAGTCATGTGGCTGGTGAGGTTGAACGGTGCCGTGAGCCACCGCCCGGGGGGCACGGTGAGCCTGCCCCCGCCCCTCTCGGCGATGGCCGCGATGGCAGACTCGAACGCAGCCGTGTTAACCGTCCGCCCGTCCCCGACGGCCCCGAACTCCCTCAGATCGTAGACGGGCGGGGAGGCCACCCACTGCCCCAAAGACGCCGCGGCGCGCTTCGGCATCGGCGGGCGCGTGTAGAGCCGCACGCGGCCCACGGAGGTGCCCTGCCACAGGATGACGAAACCGAAGCCCACCAGCCAGAGCGCGACCAGGCAAGCCCTGAACGATGGCGGGCTCCACCGCCGGTGGTGGTGCGCGGCGGCTCCACCCCGCCGCGGGGAGGAAACGACCGCCGCCGCCGCCGCCGCGCGGGGGGAGGAGGCGGAGGCGGCGGTCTCCAGCATCGGATCTGATCGCGACGCTTGTGGGATCTATCTACGGCGCGCGCACCGGCCGGTGGGCGAAGCGGTCCCGGTTCGGGCGCGGGGGCCCATGGGGGAGAGGATGGAGGGATGCGCGCGCCGGCGGAGGCGGTGGATTCGGCCGGCAGCTCGGTCGTAGTTTTAAAAAGGGTAGGGCGGGGTGGAGAGGGTGGTGCGCGCGGCGGTGAGTGATGATGGTGAGTGGCTGCTAGCTCCGCGGCCGTGGAGTTGAGTTGAGTTGAGAGTTGGGGGCGGAACCACGACCACGACGGCGGCGGCGGAATGACCGAGCTGCCCCTGGGCGGTGGCCGGTCAGTTCAGCTTCTTGGCGCTCGGTGACTGTGGGCTCCGCTGGCGCTGCCAGTGGAGGGTGATTCCCACGCGCAACGGTTTTTGACTCGTCCTAGTGGCGTGCGCGGTGCCCAGGGTTTGGTGTTTGGTCCATGTCCATGATCGTTTGGCGGTGCTCCGATGACGACGATCGAGAGGTTCGTCCTGTCGGAGGGGCATCCACGAGCACGACATGGCTCCATTAATCAGGGACTCCTCTTTGCTGATTCTCCGGATCCGGAGCGCGCTTTGGCGGCCGCTCCAATTTCAGTGTCGTTTCTGCACAGTTGGCATGGACTCGGAGGCTCTGCAGCTGCAATTGATCCTCGCGTCGACTGCGCTGGGCGCTGCGGACAGCGTGTCGTTTTTTAACTTATATCCGATTTTTTCGGCTTTTTTTTCTGAATGACGCGACATGCCTCGTCTGTCCTTGTAGCGCTACCGGGGCCAGCGTGTCGTTCGTTTGGTTTAGGGTTGAGTGATATTCGTACCTTCCTTCTGAATGACGAAAGGAAAACCTCGTCTAGCTTGAGCGACAAACCAATGCCTCCTGAGCTTTCATCGGTCCTGAAAGCCGAAACCGAGAGCAGTGTAGAGTATACGGAGTAGTACGTTTCAATCTTTCATCAGTCAGCTTGCTATGTTCAGTCGCACTGTAGTAGCAACTAGCAACTCCGGAGACTCTGATAGCACCGTACTGGTAGTCTGGTAGTCACGACGCAAAATTGTGGTTGACCTGCGAGATGGCCAAGGGGCTCGCTGCACAATGTTACCCATGTCTGCAGCACCGGCGTTCGCCATGTGAAGATCGGCCACCGTGGTGAATCTGCCGACGTTTTTATGTTTCGCTCTCCATGGTTGCGGGTGCTACTGGATAGTAAAGAGAGAATTCCCTGGTTGCCATCAAAACTTATAACGATTCCTTAGTTGCCATTAAAAATTATAGCATTCCTTAACTGCCATCGATTTGTAGTTTTTGATTCCTTCGTTGCCATTACCGTTACGTATGTGAGTTTTGTTCCCTTAACTGCCATCTAGTTAGATAATTTCCTCCATAATTGCCACTGAGCGGACGGTCAGGGGAACGGCGTGAGCCGTGTTCGACGCTCGACGTAGTCCGCTGCTACCACGCTCTTGTCCATCCTCTGTGCCGTCCCATCTCCCGTGCGAGCGCTTAGGTGCGCCTGTGACAAGTGCCAGGAAAGGGAGGATCCGTCTCTATTACAACAGCGCCATCTTGGGCGCCGTCAGCCTGGTGTCGGCGTGTCGCAGAGCCTCTCACCGTCTGGCACCGCGTCACCTCCTCCACCGGCAGCGAGTCAAGCAGCCCTCCGCTCTGGGGAGCTCCTGGAACCACGCCTGCAAGTACGCGTATGTACATCAGCATTCAGCACATCAGATGCAACAATGCAACGGTTGTACGTACGTGCACACGGTCTACATACCTTGATGAGGCCTGCAAGCCGCAAGGCAGTGCTCGTCGATGCCGTGCACTGGTATGTGCTCTGTAGGCTGCAGTAGAGCAGCAGTATACCGCCCTGCCATCCCGCAGCGGAGCAGCCCCGCGCGCGATGTGCGCTGCCGTGCTGGCTGCCTGCCGTCGCGGAGCCGCGATCGCGCTCGCGCGAGTGGAACGTCACTTGCGCCACATGCCACACGTCCGTTGGCCACCCGATCTCCATTATCTCGCCGCCGTCGTCACCACGCGGACAAGAGCGCGGCGGCAGCGGACGACGTCGAGCGTGGAACGCGGTTCCGTCCGCTCAGTGGCAATTAAGGAGGCAAATTATCTAAATAGATGGCAGTTAAGGGAACAAAACTCACATACGTAACGGTAATGGCAACGAAGGAATCAAAAACTACAAATCGATGGCAGTTAAGGAATGCTATAATTTTTAATGGCAACTAAGGAATCGTTATAAGTTTTGATGGCAACCAGGGAATTCTCTCGATAGTAAATGAACTGAGGCAGCGCAGCCTGAGCCCAGAATTATTCGTAGATGGGCGGGATGAGGCCCATCAAAACGAACCGTAAAGGTCGTTTACTCGTTTTGCCCCTCAACTGGGCCGGATCTTGACCTGGACCACCAGTTACATGCTCAACCTGCACATGGGCTAACCTGAGGAGTCATATGTGCTCCCTGAGTTGGTGGTCTGATTTCAACGCATAGTCCTGATTGTCTGAAGGCAGTCTCAATGCTAAAAATAATAATACCTAGTTTCTATGCCTATTAAATTATTTTTGAGCACATGCCTATTAAATTATATAAACACTACATATTAAAACCATAACTTTTAAAGGATAATTTGTTTAAAATATTTTTTGTGTCCAATTATGTGTCTCCTTTCTTATTATCTATACTTATCGAGCTGTTCGGCTGATGGTTTTTGCGGCTAATAAACCGGCTGATGATGTTTTGTTGTGAGAGAAAAACACTATACCATGGACTGATAAGTCGGGCTGATAAGTTCAAACGAACAGGGCTGATAAGTTCATGTCTTGGTTTCCGTATAGATATAGTTTCTTATCAAAAACTCATTTCTTCCTCTATCTTTCTTTGATTACAATGCCACATCACTAGTTTACTTAGTTGGCACCCTAATTAATGAATAATATAGAAACCATCCTAATTTCTAGGTTGGTGAAAGCTCTGTGTTTGGTTTTGGCAATTGAGTGACAACTAGTGGACTAATGCTTTCAATTGAGTTGTGATTGAGCTAGGGTCCACACCAAGGCGGTGAGCAAAGGTTAAGCGATTAATGAAGGGTGATCAAGCCATATGGAGCAAGATCACACTTGGAGAGATGAAAACAAGCCCAAAACCAAAGGTATATGCTAGGGTTTTCATTTTGACAACCGAGACACAATACGACAATAGAGTGCGTGGTCGGGTTTGGAATAGATAGCCGTGCTATTAACAAGGGTATTCTAAAGCAAAACGGTTATCTAAGTGTCACTAGGTTTAAACTAACTTTGCATATGCCTTGGACCTAGTACGGCTAACTCAGTGAGATATAAGTGAAAAATGTTTTTATAAAGCTAACTCAATGCCTAAGGTGAAAGTGTTCATGCTTGAACACATTGAGAGTTAGCGAATTTGAAACGCTTTCGAAAATATGACTTAGGGTAGCCTTGTTGCCTTCACCGGATTTATCCGGTGCCTCCTTGGGGAGATCACTATAATATGCGCTATGTATAGGGTGTACCGTACAGTTTATAGTAGAAAGCGTCGCGGATTTAAATCCCACGTTAAATCTGAGTGGTTCGCTTTATGTAACCCATGTTTTGGTGGGCCCTTTTCGGTGTTCACTCTATAACACTAAAAACAGCCCACCAGGAAACCTATAAAAGAAAGTGCTCGTCTTTGAAAATGGTTCATACACTAGTATATACCTTGTGCATTAGCATACTAGCATTGGGGGCCTAGCACTAGGGGCACTAAAAGAAAGTGCTCGTCTTTGAAAAATCCAGCATCTTATGATATATCTCCTATCCAGGAATTTTCTGATCAAGTGATCCAGCGAACCAAACACTATCGATCAATGGACGGTCAAATCCAACCCACCCAACGCATCCTATATATAAGCTCCCATTGGACACGGACACTCTGGACAGCTTTATAAATTTGATTAATTATAAGCTAGCTACCCCAGCCGGCTGGCACGCACGCACTCACACGGAAATCGTGGCACAAATTTGGGAGACCAGAGCCGTCCCCGAGAGCAGGTCGGGACCGCGGTCAAGGTCACCATATGAAACTCGTGACGCCCTTTGCTGGAAGCACAGAGTTCACTACTTCAGGCAGGGTTCAGGCCTGCGAACCGGCCGGCCGTACCGTACTGTGTCACCCTACCGGTGCCTCAGTCGCTCAGAAAAGAAAAGGAGCCATCCCACCATCCAGCGGGGCGATCGGCCGTAGCCCGGCGAGCGATCAGCCATCGCCGTCGACAGGAGAGCGGTCGCGGGTCATGTGGTATGACCGCCGACAGATGAGGTGCCACGTCGTCGGAGGCGAGACACATGATGAGCGAACGACGTCGCCCGTTGCGTTCGCTCGTTGCCGACAGCGTGCGTGGCACTCCTGAACCCACCGGTGCGCAAGGACGCTCCATCGTTTCGGATCTCACGCTCGATAAGCGTGGCCAACAGTACCGGAGATTGAGACCTGGACCGTCTCTGATTGGACCAACCGATGGTACGGGGCAGCATGCACGACACGACTCAATGTAGCTCTCGCTGTGCTGTGCCCCGTGCCCCCGAACCACACCCGTCGCTGCCACGGCGTCCTCTCCTCGTCCCACGGGGCCGGCCGCCGGGGACAGGCGGACAGCGGCGCCGGAAGATCCCCACACACACCCGCTCGCCCCGGTCAAATCCCCCGCGCGCGAGCGCGCCCCCGCACAGATCGTCACGTGTCGCTAGCACGCCTTTCCGCCCGATCGGGGCCGTCCCTCTCGCCTGCCCTGCCCCCTGCCCCCTGCCCCCTGCCCCCTGCCCCTCCTCCTCCGTCCGATCACGTCGCCACCGCCACCGAGGCCCCTCCGACCCGTCGCTCACCCGCATTCCCATTCCCCGAGGACCACCAGTCACCCGTTCCGGCAGTCACGTGTTTCATGCGACGCGAGTCGCCTCCCCGACCGGCTGGCCCGCC